CAGCTGGGGTAGCTGGGCCTGGAGGAGCCACTTCCTAGATGGCTTGTTTGTCTATACGTCTGGCGTCACAGTGTCCTTGGCCTCTGTCTCCTTCCTCACATGGCGTTTCTTCCTCCAGGACCTCTCCTCCACATGGCGTGGGCTTCTCCCACAAAGCTGGTCTCAGAGTCCTCACTCTTCCTACATGGCAGCTGGTTTCCCAAAGGCAGGGAGCAGAAGCTGGCAGGCTGTTTCACAGCCCCGCCCAGAAGTGGCACACTGCCCCTTCCACTGTATTCCATCGGTCAGAGCAGCCAAAGGCCCTGCCTAGACTTAAGAGGAAGAGAAGTGAACTCCACTTGTGATGGGGGGGAGTGTCAGGGTCACATTGAAGAAGAAGACAGGTGTATATGGGAGATGCTGCTGGAGCCATCTTAGGAAAATAGAATCTTTCAAAGGAGGAGAAACGACGACTCTGGTCAACAGTGTGTAGTCATGATGACTGCCAAGTCAAACTTCTCACCCAGACTTGAGGGGACAGACAGGCAATGCTTCCTAGAGGGAGTGATGTGGAAACTGAGAGCTGAGAGATGAATGGCGATAGGCCAGATCAAGGAGAAGGAAATTTCCAGGCAGAGGCACAGCAAGCTGACAAGAGAGTGAATGCACATTCGAGAGCCTAAAACAGTTGAGCATAATGGAAAGAGGGGCTGCTGCTGTGTGTGTGTGTGTTTGTGTGTGTGTGTGTCCATCCTTGAGCAAGTGTCAGCATGCTGAGGGTGAGGCTGGGTTAAAGACATCACAGGACTTTCTCTTGAGGGCAGTGAAGGTTTTAGGTGGTTATTCCATTTTCCTGCGATGTGGAGAATGGCTTGGCTATCAGAGAAGATGGATGGTGGCAGTCAAAATGGGAAGCACTGGATATATCGCTACTTAAGAGAAATAGGAGCAGAATCCACAAGATTTCAAGGTGGAAGAGTGATAGCTTGAGTTTCAGGCTCAGGCAATTGGCTAAACATTGAACTTTTTGGTAGGGAAGGCAGAAGTATTTACCAAGGTCTGCCAAGTGCCAGACAGAGAGCCCATGCTTCTATTTTCTTTGGAGACACATGCAGACGTTAAGTAGAATGATGATGAGCAACAGTATTACTTCTTGGCACTTTTAATGTTCACGTGTATTATCTCATTACCTTTTTAAAAACTTTATTTTTCGCTGCATTGGGTCTCTGTTGCTGTGCGCGGGCTTTCTCGAGTTGCGGCGAGCGGGGGCTACTCTTCATTGCGGAGCGCGGGCTTCTCATTGCGGTGGCTTCTCGTTGCGGACCTCAGGCTCTAGGTGCGTGGGCTTCAGTAGTTGTGGTGCGTGGGCCAGTAGTTGTGGCTTGCGGGCTCCAGAGCGCAGGCTCAGCAGTTGTGGCGCACGGGCTTAGTTGCTTCGCGGCATGTGGGATTTTCCTGGACCAGGGCTCGAACCGGTGTCCCCTGCATTGGCGGGCGAATTCTTAACCACTGTGCCATCAGGGGGGCCCCTCATTTAGCTTTCACTCATGGGAGTAAAGTGGGAAGGGGGGACTTGAGCCCCACTGACATATAAAGCATCAGGGGGAAGGTCCTTCCTCCTCTACGGACTGTTGTCTTAAAGCAGGGGTCTGCAAACTAGGCCTGCAGCCAAGTCTGGCCCACTACCTCGTATTTTTAGAGCCTGCGAGCTAACAGTGGTTTTTACACTTGTGAGTACTTGAACTTAAAAAACCAAAAGGAGAATAACACTTCATGACAAGTGAAAATTACATGAAATTCAAATGTCAGTAGCCATAATTAAAGTTTTATTGAAACACAGCCACGCCCATTTACCTGTTGTCTCTGGCTGTTTTGTTGGTACAAAGGCCAACTGGCTTGGTAGCCACAGAGAACACGTGTAAAATCGAAAACATTTACTATCCAGCACTTTCTTTCCTTCTTCAGAACCAGGCAGGGAGCTTTCTGGTGTTTACAGAACAGAAACCCGCGGAGGCTTCTGCAACTCCGCACTCCCCTGGAAACTCTCCAATTCCCTCACCCCCTTGCAAGGAGAGCTCAGCAAGCAACTTATTTATGTAGCCAACAGTTGTGTAATGCTTAGCACCTGCCCAGCTCATTTCATTCTCATCACAGCCCCATCAGGTGGTATTATCACCATGTCCATTTTACAATGGAGGAACCGGAGGCACAGAGAGGATGAGCCGCCTGCCCAAGGTCACACAGCTAGAAGTGGTGGAGGCAGGATTGAAACCCGTGCCGCCGAGCTCCTCGGATTGCGCGACCAGCGGAATCCAGGTAGAGACAGGTGTCCTAGAAGGTCCAGTTGGGACCCTCGCCCTGAACAGAACACCTGCCAGGTCCAACCCCCGCTCCCAGGGCCCAGCGCGCAGCTCTAGGGGGCGGGAGGGGCGTCGAGGTCAGGCGGGGGCGAGGGAGCGGCGGGGGGCGGAGCGAGAGGAACCGCGCGGCGGCGCACTGTCAATCAAGGAGTATCAACCCCGCCCAGGGCCCCACAGACCCACAC